TTTATCATCGGTTAATAACCTCAATGCTTCACATTATTCCTTGAATGCATTATGTAGAACATTGTTAACTGTCCTCAAGCGTTTATAATTTGTACATCCTTGTTGGACATTTAATACTTCTCAAGTAGTATAACTCTCTAGTTTCTGTAAGCACGTATTGTAGTCTGCCTATTGACGGTCGTTGTTGCCCTTGAACTATTTCCACACTTTGTGGTTGTGCATAAAATATTCTCGAAACTCTTTGCATACGTCAAATTTTATCCCGCATTATATTTTGTATTGAAAATCATCCAAGCTTCAAACATTGAGGCTTTATCAATAATTTCTTTGACAAAATCTTTTAGTTTTTGTTGGTGTCTAAATGTTACGAATTTTAGCATTGGGTTATAAAAATTCAATCTCAGTACTGATCACTACCTTTGTTGTATATCAAAAGAGAGGATTATCCAAGAGGCTTCACATGCAGATATGTAATGACAATCAGAATACTTATTTGTTTTATAATACACCATAATATCAACAATGCCAAAGTTAGATTGGGTAACTGCAACAGTTACTTTATTTATATCTTTATTTACATATTTAAAGAGATATTTGATTGAATTAGATTTATTTCAATGTTCAATGTTGTTTGATCTTGAAACCTCATCAAGAGTTGTGGGTTGTATGTCACAACAATTCGATTATCCAACTCGACATTCTTTTTCATTATATTGTGGTGACCTCTAAGGTTCTTCTTTTGTATATCAGGTAGTTATTCCCATCAAACGATGTCTTATCAATAATTTTTTTGGGAAAATGTTTCATAAATTTATCATTCTCCATATATACAGATCTAGGATCATTTATGCTACATGGATCATGCATCAATAATCGAGTTACGAACTCATAAAATCTAGGATATTTATCTTTATTATGAACCTCTACACATGTCACATGATCAATTGACTCAAGCGATTGAAGGTTATCCCTATAGTATAACCATATTAAGATATGTGCATGAAGCAAGCTTCTCATTTGAAATTCAAAAGAGTACAAACATGCACAAAATCATTACATTCAAATGACAACATTTTAAATTGAATGTCCATTTAAATTGTTTTGTATTATACAATATCAAATATTTAAACAACTTAATTTTTTTATGTTATATACCATTTAAATTTCACACACACACACATAAAATCTAGGTTTACTAAATTATTACAAATATATAATTCTTCTCACCCCCTGAATTCAAAAAATATACGACAAAAACATTGGTGATTTTATTATTCTTCTCCCCTGCATTTATTTAACAAACTTAGATTTCCGATCATGTAATTTTAATATAAAAAATCATGATTCTTCTCCGCCAGATTAATTTACATTAACGGAAATATATGATTTTAATTTCTATGATGCATTAATGCGATTCTTTCTCTCCTTTGCCCTTTACACTAATTAAAAATTGACTCTTTTTTCTTGTATTATTAAAAGTGTGAAAACATAAATTAACAATCATATGATAAGAAATATAAATTTTACAATACATTAAAAATATAATGATTATTCTCCCTCGTATTATTTCAAAAATTATGTGAATGCAAAAAAAATTAGTCATTCTATGATTTTAATGAAATTTTACAAAAACTATTTCACAATTTTTATTCATTTTTTTTCTATCTTTTTTAAATATTCAATCATTTAAGTGTGTGAAAATATTTTGGTCAATACATAATGTTTTAAAAATACAAAGAGTTACAATTTAAAAATTATATTTCTCTTTGATGTTGTAGTTTAACCTAAATCTTATTCACTTCTGCACATAAGATATTCTTCGTACTTCTCCTTAAAATACTGATTATTCTTGCATCTAGATTTTAATTGTCACAGATCTTCACGCGTTTCTCGACCTCCAAATCTTATCTTTCCTTATAGAAATATTTTTGTGAAAATCCATGTTATATCGCTTCATCTCTAAGAATATCATTTTTTTTAAATTTCTTTGTATGATTGCGAAAATGAAGAAAAGAGAATCGAGCAATAATTCATCCATCTTTTTTATTTTCATGCATCAATATAGTGAATTATCACCTAATATAAATTTATAAATCTTAAGTTACATCTTAAATATGGTAAGTTACAGTGCAAACCTTCTTTGATTAAAATAATAGGTCAAATTAGAAAGATAAAGTACAAAAGTCAAATTCAATAATCCTGCTAAGTAATACTCCGTATGGTTTAAACACTTAATATATAAAATTTTAATATAGGGATTAAGAAGTATTCGTTATTTTACATCACGATTTAAATAAATGGAATAAAGCTAACTTCTCTTAATCATAACATAAAGAAATATGAAATTTTTTTAAAGATAAAGAGAGTAGTTTATATATTCATCGAAACTATTATTATAAATGAAATGAAAAAAAATTAAAAGAAATAAATATCTCTCTTTCTTAATTAAATGTACTCAATGATAATAAAATCATAAATAATGTTAGTGTAATATAATAAGTCCCAACGATATATTTTGTTTTAATCATTTGTCTTT